GTATCTCTGATTACTGAGATGTGGCAAAATTAATCAAAATTAGAGACTTCGAGATTAATTACTCTGAGAATCCCTTTTCAATTAAAGACCTTCCCTAAAATCTTGAGTCACCCAACTTTTACTTGCCTCTTATGCCCCATATTAAATTAATTATTTATCCTGATCAAAAGTTTACAAAATGACAAAACTTCATTGACCACGTTTCAAAGTTGGAACGCTGACAATTTCTGAGAAGCTGTTTATGGATTTTCTTTACTTATTTGAAAAGTTGTTGTTTATAATCTTAATTTTGTTGAGACATTTTGCCTGGCTGCCTCGTCTTTGCGTTTATGAATAATTTAGTTTTCCAGAACATTTCAACAAAGTAAAAAGAAAAGGGCTATTTTAGCCCCTAATATGGAGCCAAAATATTGACCCCAGAACTGCCGCCCATTTGAGAGACAATTTTTGCCCTTTAAAGAGTGGCCAAATTTGGTCCCGTTTATTTTGCCAATTTTACCCCCAAAACGTAGCTGAGACAGCCCCAGGTTAGAGGACCAATTTAGCCCCATAGCGAGCTATTTTCCACTTTGTGTGAAATTCAGCTCTAGACAGAATAGCCAATTTAGTCCCAATATTTCATCAAATCGGCCATGGCTAAAAAGCAGCACCGTGCCCAGGAAAGAAGTGAAACTACTTCAAGTTTGCAATTAACAAGTCTCGTATAATATACACGTGCACGTAAATGTTTAACATCTTCATTAAAACACCTCACACAAATAAACTTCACAAAATATAGAATTGAAATAAAACATGCTCGAATATAGCATAAGTTTGAGACATTTGATAAAACGTACTTATTATTATAGAATACAAGATTGTTAGTTGAATTTTCAAGCATGCATTAGCTAGTTCTTGTGGAAACGACCGCACGTAGTGCTCCTGTCATTATGAATAATTTATGTATGTAAAAATTTTATCGTGACTTGACATTCTTCACTTGCAGACTGTTTATGTTTTATAAGTTATGCTAATTCTATATGTCAAGGAAATGCTAATTACAAATGAGAGGAAATAATTTCTGAGAGTTTAGATCAAATGGGGGAGCTACAAATGTAAAAAAGCTGTCCATTTACTGAAATCCACTGTTTTAATTAAAAATTTTCTTGTATGATAGCAACAGTTGCTAGTAGCATAACTACTTATTTGCTCACCAATAAGATTCGTTCAATTTCATTAACATTCCTTCTATCTTAGCAACCTGCAGTGTTTGACTGCGACTCTACGTCTTCTATGAATAGAGCTTCACAAGTTTTAAAAGCAATCGCATTGAAAAGATAGCATCATTATTCTCAAGACGTCTTACGTATCTTGACAAATTTCTGATTTGAACAAGCTCTTCACTCTACTCGAGACAGGTACGTCTGATTTACAAGAATTTTGCCATATATAAGTAGAGACGTTTGTTCAAAGAAGAAATTTTTTTAATTGTTTGGTTTCTGATGTCTTATAAAATGACTAACAAAGCGTTCAATAATAGTGAACGCTTATTATTTGTAACGCGTATTATTTGTTCAATAATATTTCCAAAGTGATTCTTGTTGCTCTTATGATAGCTACTAAGTTCGTGTATTCTCACAGAATAAGATTCGTACCGTTTTAAACGTAACTATCTTCAGACATGGATTTCTAGAGAAAACTACTGTGATGTGAGTCATAACAAGTCCCTGTTAGTGTTGTATATTTTCTATTAACCGAAACTTGTACTTAACCCTCTAAGGGCCATATGTAGTGAAATGCATCATAATATAACTACGCCATGCGGTCTGCGTTAAAAAACTCAAGATTGACAAACTTATAGGCGGACACACATAATGTGTGTAGCATTACATAATTTCGGAGAGTTTACATAAAATGGGTGAACTAAAAAAGTAAAAACAGCTGTCCATTTACTGAAATCCACTATTTTTAATCAAAAATTTTTCTTGCATGGTAGCAACAGTTGCTAGTAGCATAATTAATTATTTGCCCACCAATAAGATTCGTTCAATTTCATCAGCATTCCTTCTATCTTAGCAACCTGCAGTGTTTGACTGCGACTCTACGTCTGCTATGATAAGGAGCTTTACAAATTCTAAAATCAACCGCATTAAAACAGATAGCATCATTTTTCTCAAGACTTTTTACGGTATATTGACAAATTTCTGATTTTAACAAACTCTTCACTCCTCTCGACACAGGTACGTCTGATTTACACGAATTTTGCCATATATAGAGACGTTTGTTCAAAGAACAAATCTTTTTATTGTTTGGCTTCTGATGTCTAATAAAATGATTAACAAAGCGTTCAAAAAATATATTAGCGATATTGTCAAAGTGATTCTTGTTGCTCTTATGATAGCTACTAGCTTCTATTCTATTCTATGTGAGTCATAACAGGTCCCTGTTAGTGTTGTATATTTTCTATTAACCGAAACTTGTACTTAATTCTCTAAGGTCCATATGTAGTGAAACGCATCATGATATAACTACTCCATGGTCTACGTTATAAAGAAGTCGAGATTGACAAACTTCTAGGTGGACACACATAATGTAGCATCGTGTTGTGATTCTCTTGGGGCCAGATGTTTTCTCAATTAAGTTTCGCTTCGTAATTGTTGCTCGCGCAAGCAATGGCCACTAACAGGTTGAATTGTTCGCCATGGTGATTACTAAATGAAAATGCAGACATGCGAACAAATAGTAAAAAGCTGTAAAGCAGCACATTTGTTTTGATGTAAAGGAAGTTTCTGCTTGGTTCATTTTTAACCTTTACATTGTTCCCCATTCGACGATATATGTGCTTTAATTCCCCTAGTTATTACTGTTTTGTAAGTCAACATTATTTAATCAATCTTAGCACAAATCTTCGAATAAAAGACTTCAAGTTATTGTAACAAAAAACAATAAAAAGGGTTGGCAGAAGTTTTAGCTAAGTAAAGAACCAATTACATGAAGCAATTTCAGCCCGGACTAAGTTTCAGCCAGACCCGTTACAGTATCCTATCAAAATAGCGTTCTCGATTACATGAGAGCAATTCTATGTAATGTGCCAGATGCATCGCTAGATCCGTTACTGGTATCAATCACGTTGTGGTTAGACGGATTATAGCAAGTTCTTTTTAAGTCGATGACCCTATTCCTAGTTTCTTTCTGGGTCAATTTCTCAAAATTGACTGCACAGCATGTTTAAGAACTTATGTGGATACACTTTTGTTTAACTGAAGTTTATGCCAAACGGAACAATATCCTTTTAAGCAAACATATGTCAACGAACTCCCTAATTTATCTCTCAGGGTCATCATAGTTGTAGTCAATATTTCGCGTTTTTCTCAAAACAGCCCTTTAAGTGTAGAAATGCTACATGCTTCACATACTGTATTTCATGAAGTTTTCTTAAAACATACGAATTTCTTCATACTTAAATACTTTATAGAAATTAAAGAAGTTAAGTCTTTCAAGGAAAATCTTGCGCAACTAGTCTGAATCAGTGAACTCTATAATAAATTGCTAAAAATGAAATAAAAGAGTTCTGAATCCACCGAATCGAATCGTTTGACGCCATTTTAAATTTGATAGTTTGGCGGCATATTGTATATTGTCTCGTATATTTCACTTCCACCGTGGAGTTTTGTTTATTGCCGTGGAGTTTTGTTTATTGCCGTGAAGTTTCGTTTATTGCCGTAAATTTTGTTTATTGCCGTGGAGTTTTGTTTATTGCCGTGGAGTTTTGTTTATTGCCGTGACACTTGTGGGCCACCATACAGAGAAGCTCTGTTTATCGATTTACTTTACTTCCTAAATCATAAATCTTTAATTTTTGAGCTATCTTACTTGTGAAATGCTGGCTTGCTTTTCATATTTTATTGGGTATGAGCAGAATTTAATATTTTACAATAAAAAGAGCAGGGGCCGGTTGTATAAAGCTCTTAACTACTTTTTAACTACACTTTTTGAAGTTAAAAAGTAGTTAAATTTAACCACGCGGTTAAGTCGGTTGTATAAAAAAGTAGTTAGCGCTAAATGCAGTTAAAAGGTAGTTAAAGTTAACTATGCTATGGAGCATAGTTAACTTTTCAAAACACAGTTAAATATGGCGGCTTTACGTCTAATAGATATTTTTGAGCGAAATGCAATCGATCGGCAACGTTTACCTCGAGTTTTTAATCGACATCTTCCATGGCAAGGTTTTTCCGACAATGACCTCCGAAAACGGTACAGATTTGGCCGAGAATCGTTGCAGCATATCTCACGACTGATTGCAAACGATGTACGGCCAACAACAAACCGTAACAAAGCCTTGTCAACCGAAGAGCAATTGGTCATTGCTCTTCCTTTCTTTGCGTCCGGGAGCTTTTTGCAAGTCATTGGCGACACTCACGGTTATGATAAAGCCACTGTTTCGAGAGTAGTGCGTAAAATCGCACTTGCATTGGCTTCCAAGCACGCAGACTACATCAACTTCCCATCAACAAATGAGGGAAAAAATGCTATTCGTACTGCGATGTATCAAATTGCGGGTTTTCCCTGCGCCATTGGCTGCGTTGATGGCACATATACGTATAATTACTCCTTCCCAAAACGAGCCAAATTATGTAAATAGAAAAGGATACCACAGCATAAATGTTCAAGTCATTTGTGATAACAAAGGTAAATATGAACATATTAAACATGTTTAATTAATATTCAAAACCATAATGTACTAGACTTCAAGAACCATAATATAATACATTTCAATAATCATAATATAATAGATAATCATAACAATAGAATTTTACAAAGTTATCCACTTAATTTATCTTACAAGTATTAATATGACCTACTTGATATAAAATTTCCAAAAATTAATTTTATGCAGGCAAATTTATCAATGTGGTAGCACGATGATCATGTCATGATTCATTCATCTTCCGTTGGTAGAAGGATGGAAGAAATGCATCATGCAGCAAATATTGATGTACTGTTGGGGGACAGTGGATATGCCTTAAGGTCATTTTTGATGACTCCATACCTCCATCCAGTGCATCCATGCCAAAAAAATTTAACAAGGCACATAAAAAAACAAGGTGTTTGGTTGAAAGAACCATTGGCATTTGGAAAAGAAGGTTTCATGTTTTGCATTCAGAAATAAGGTATCAGTGAGTCTTTATGAGCTTTAATACAACATCAAATCCTAGCAAGCATGTTTACTCTATTTAGGATGAAACCAGATAGAGTCTGCACCATTATAATGGCTTGTGCAGTATTGAATAACATTAGCATTCTAAGGCAAGAGCCTGAAGTTGAAGAAGATGAGTTCGGAGAGGATGCACTGGAAGAAGAAAATGAAGATGTTTTGCTGGAAGCAGGAGAAACAGATGGAATAGCAGCAAGGGAGCATATGGCACAAACATATTTTAGCTGACTAGTTTAAAAGAAAAAATGAAGGGGGTTGTTCTTTGATTTCAACTATCCTCTGAAGTAACTGTACTTGTAGTTCGAGTTTTCTTTTCTTCAACTCTAGGTTGTGCTTCTCAAACAACATTTTTTCTTTTTCCAATTGAAGGATCTCAACATGAAGTTGTTGAACATCATTTTTCATCTCTCCTTGAGTCTTTGGTCGTTTCCTTTTGAATGTTCTCGATTCTTTGCCTGTGAATTACGTTCAATACAATGCACAAATAGATTTTATAAGCTATGAATACAAAAATGGATATAAACATAATTAAATGCTCACATTGTGATAGGGTGGATGTTGTTGGTATTGGAGTCTTGCTTAATTCCATGTCCTCACCACCCTCAACTTCTTTGTCAGTTTCGACCAAAGTGCTCAAGTGAGATGAATTATCTCTTTCTCTGCAAAACGTTAAAAAACATAGCACAATGAAAAGATGAAAACGTATTACCTTTTGTTTTACTGTATATTTTCCATTATGCAAACAAATCATCAAAACTTAAATTAATACAATCGTTTCATTAAGCATATAAAATTCATATTTCGTATTTGTATTTATAGCATCGAATTCTTTGTAAAACAACTTTGGCAATACTCCATCGTGAACACATATTCGGTTATTTCAAGCTGGCCATTTTATTTCGGGATGGGTTGGTTGGTATAAATTATATTGTTATGTTTAGCGTAATGGCGGGAAAATTTAAAATCCCTTGTGTTGTATTAAAACGTAAACAAAAGACAATAACAAAGTAGCATCTTGCTTCTGCTTATTCTTTTACGAAGAATTCTTCTATGCATTTCAAAGAATGAGATTTTAAAGATCATAATTACCTACAAATGTACCACCAGACTCGAAGCCTCCTTGAATACCTGAGAATGAAGGTTCATCTCCCAAAATATTTATGATTTTCTCCGTTGTTAAAGAAGGCAGTTTTGTAGCAGGACCTCCCCCTGTTTTTCTTTGCGAACTCATTATACCATCATTGGTTTTTTTGGCAATCTGTGCCAGGTTTCTCCATTTTTCACGCACTTCTTTTGGCTTGCGATTTTCAAACCCCAAGCTGTTTATTTGCGAGGTTATCTTCTCCCACAACTCTTGTTTTGGCATTTGTTATACTACTTGAAAATTGCCCTCGTATTGCATCCAAATTTTCTCCACAAGCTCAACAAGAAGAGCATTCTGCAGAGCTAAAATTTTGTTTTCTTTTTTTACTTTTATTTGAGGACTCAGCTGTGATTGATAGGGAAGACATCTTGGATTGAAATGATATAATACATCTACCAATGATAACAGTTACACAACGTGTGCATGATTATGATGTAACAGAGAAGAGATGTGAGTCACTTGAAAACAACTACAGAGTAATCACCAATGAACTTTATAAAAACTTCATTATGCAATATCAATATCACAATGCAAAACAATATATTGTCTTTAAATGTACATTAAGCAATTTTCAAGAGTCAGGTAGCTGAACCATGAGAATTAAATAGCCGAAAAGAAAAAGGTTAAATAATTTTGAGAATAGATTTTAAATTAAATAAGTTAAGAGGAAATATTCTATGTACCTGGGGACACTCAAAATCTATAATAAACAAAATGGCATGAATTTAACAGGATAGAAATGACAATGAAGACAAAATGAATACAATATTTATTCTATATCCCTATGTTACATTTTAATGACAGAGGAAAGATATGTCATAACAGTCGTGAGATTACATTGTAACTATGATGACCTTTAAGAAATGTTTGCTAACAAGTCTATCAATAAAAAGTCTATGGCTGTCTTCTTTTGCTCATACAGTCATATCTGTGACTAAATGTCTTTTCATAAAACAATGATTAATTTTTTTGGTTAACAACATTTCTTTCAATGATTAGCAAAACAATGTCTTTCTCTTTTATACACTATTTCTGACAGTGTCGATGGCTGTTCAAATACTTACCAAGATGCAAAAAGTAGGAAACAAATAAAACTCCCAAGCTTTAGACAAAAAGAGGCTAATAAATCACAAAGGCATGAATAAAAGTTCCATAGCTAAGGCTCATTAACAAATATACCCAATAGTTTTTATAACTCAGTTTTTAAAAGGTAGAATTAAGAACAAATAAGTATTTTGTGTATAGCTGTTAATATAACATGTCACAAGCCGATAAAAGACGGTTGCTGGATTACATGGCTACTAACTATGACAACTCAAAGAAATGTTTTCTAATAAAAAAGTCCATCACTCTTTACAAATATGTGTGACTTATGTCTGTACAAACACATTTCTTTCAAGCATTTTACTCAGCTGTTATAAAGAGAAACGAAACGACCCTTTTCCTTTGTTACCCTCAATCTCTCAGTTTTAAATTCTGTAAAAGCGAGGCCATTCAATTATTTAAATCCTTGCACATAGAACACAATACGAATCAATTTGAGAAGAGTTTATTGTTTCGTTTGCCCAAGTCCGTTATATATAACTGGTACATGAAAGAAAGCAGTCCTTGCCGAGACTCATCATCGTCAACATCGTACTGTATTACACAGAAGATAAGGGTCGATTTTCTTGAGAAAAGTCCAAAGTATATGCTTACAATTTAATCCGGTTACCATGTCATCGTGAATCTTTTATTAAATTTTCTTTCGCTTCATCAGCATCCGTAAAAACGACAATAGTTTGCCATATTTTAGGAATTTTATATAAGCCAAGAGATTTTTCATGATTTTAAAGTCATTTTATAGTTCACTTGCCCGCCATTACAAAGCATAAATTGATTAAACTTTATGTCATTTAACGTAAACAACACTCCACGCAATTTCCACGCAGTTAACTATGCAGTTACTTAACTGTCCGACTAACTACGTTTTGTGCAACGCAGTTAAGTCGAGCAGTTAAGTTACTACAGTTAAGGAGTTAACTACGGTAGTTAGCGCTAACCATAGTTAAAGTTAACTACGTTTTTATACAACCGGCCCCAGGTGATTAAAATTGAACATTTAGTCAACATTCCAATTTCTTTATCAAGAAGAAGCAAAGGTATTACATGTAGTTGGTTGTGTCGTCTTTAATGTTTTAATTTGTGAAAGTATGTTGATTGAATAGTTTACCTATCATAATGTCGTTGTTTGTTCTTATGTCTAGAATTTTGTTTTATTTCCCACAAAAACTTGAATGTCATTTTCGTGGTGGAATTGCACTTCATATGTTTTATATTGATACATCTGTTGATTTTGGTAAGATTTTTCCAATAACACATTGGATAATTTATCATTTCAAAATACTGACCTTTCTTGCATTATCACCAACAATCAATTTCACTTGTCTTTTCAAATATCATTGGTACGGCAAGGCTAAAAAATCAACAAGATGAATCAAAATCATGACACCTCACAGAATTTAAGTTATCCATATTATAAATGCGGAATGATTTTAATTTTATCTAACATGGCTTTTATCAAGAAGAATTTTTTCTTCTTTTACACAGTTATCTATCTATTTATCTTATTCGTACCACAGATGCTGACATAAAAAATTTTGCTAGGTATGTCTTTAGAAATTGGGCCTACTTGGAGTAAAAAGCTTAGTTCTTCACGTGATAGTACACGTGATTCTTTGGTGGTCTATAATTATTCAACTTGTTGTAAGATAGACTATTTAAAATATTTGTTTGCATCAAAAGTTCACTAAATGACAAAACTTTGCATTATGAACTGTCAAGTCCAAACGTTATCAATTTTGAAGTATCTCTGATTACTGAGATGTGACAAAATTAATCAAAATTAGAGACTTCGAGATTAATTACTCTGATATTCCCTTCTTAATTAAAGATTTTCCCTAAAATCTTGAGCCCCCCAACTTTTACTTGCTTCTCACGCCCCTTATCAAATTATTTGTTTATCCGCATCAAAAGTTTTTAAAATGACAAAACTTCATTGACCACGTTTCAAAGTTGGAAGGCTGACAAATTTAGAGAAGCTCCGTTTATCGATTTTCTTAACTTCCTAAATTATAAATCTTCAATTTTGAGCTATGTTACTTGTAAAAGCCTGGCTGCCTGTCTTTCTTTATGATTATTTCAGTTAGTTTGCATGTAAGTCAGGATGTTCAATAATTGAAATAAATAATAGTAAACTGTGAAAGGTTTATTGCCATAAAGCTTCCAAGTCAAAACTTCTGTTTTACTTCAGTCATAGCTAAGATAAAAATTTGCATTTCATGTTCTTTCGGGTATTAGCAAAATTCAATATTTTACAATAAAACAGCAGGTGATTAAAATCAAGCATTTTTGAACATTCCAATTTCTTTATAATCAGTAGCAAAGGCATCACGAAGTTGGTTGCGTCTTCTCTAATCTTTCGAAATTTGTTAAGGTATGTTGATTACAAAGTTCACCTTTCAGAGTGTCATTGTTCGTTCTTATGTCTAGAATTTTGTTATATTTGTCATAAAAAACATGAATGTCATTTTCGTTGTGGAATTCGCACTTCATATGTTTTATATTGATGCGTCTGTTGATTTTGGTGGGATTTTCCCAATAACACATTGATAAGTTATCATTTCAAAATACTGAGCTTTCTTGCATTATCACTAACAATTAATTTCGCTAGTCTATTTAAATATTGGGTACGGCAGTGCTAAAATCAACAAAATTAATCAAAATCATGACACGTCACAGAATTTCAGTTATGCATATCATAAATGCGGAATGATTTTAACTTTATCTAACATGACTTTTATCAAGAAGAATTTTTTTCTTTTATACAGTCATCTATCTATTTATCTTATTTTTAACACAGATGATGACATAAAAACGTTTTGCTAGATATGTCTTTAGAAATTGCGCCTAATTGGAGTAAAAAGCTCAATTCTTCACGTGATAGTACACGTGATTTATTTCTGGTCTATAATTGTTCAACTTATTGCAAGATAGACAATTTAAAATATTTGTTTGCATCAAAAGTTCACAAAATGACAAAACTTTGAATGATGAACTGTCAAGTCTAAACGCTATCAATTATGAAGTAGCTCTTATTACTTAAATGTGACAAAATTATTCAAAATTAGAGACTTCGAGATTAATTACTTTGAAATTCCCTTTTAAATAGACTGCCCTAAAATCTTGAGCCCCCAACTTTACTTGCTTCACGCCCCTGATCAAATTATATGTTTATCCGATCAAAAGTTTGACGTTTCCATGTTTTAAAGTTGGAACGCTGACAATTTAAGGGAAGCTCTGTTTATCGATTTTCTTAACTTCCTAAATTATAAATCTTTAATTTTTGAGCTATCTTACTTGTAAAAGGCTGGCTGCCCGTCTTCCTTTTTGACTATTTCAGTTAGTTTGCATATAAGTCAGGATGTTCAATAATTGAAATAAATAATAGTAAACTGTGAAACAAAGCTTCCAAGTCAAAACTTTTGTGTTTAATTCAGTCATAGCTAAAATAAAAATTTGCATTTCATATTTTATTGGATAGAGCAGAATTCAGTATTTTACAATAAAACAGAAGGTGATTAAAATTGAACATTTATTGAACATTCCAATTTCTTTATTATTAGCAAAAGCAAAGACATCATGTAGTTTGTTGCGTCGTCTTTAAACTTTTTGAAATTTTTAAGGTATGTTGATTTTATATTTCACCTATCATAGTGTCATTGTTCTTATGTCTAGAATTTTGTTATATTTGTCATAAAAAATCCTCAATTTTCATTTTTGTGGTGGAATTCGTACTTCATGTGTTTCTATTGATACATCTGTTGATTTTGGTGGTATTTTACCAATAACACATTGGTAAAATACCACCAAAATACTGATTTTTTTAATTTATAATTTATAATTGCAAAATACTGACCTTTCTTGTATTGTCACCAACAATTAATTTCATTACTCTTTTCAAATATCGCTGGTACGGCAGGGCTAAAAATCAACAAGATGAATCAAAATTATGACATGTCACAGAATTTCAGTTATGCATCATTATATGCAATAATTTTAATTTTTAACTGAGATATGACTTTAGCTGGACAACTTAAGCAATTCTCAGGACCTTCAGGATCAGGGATTATCGACAGCTGCGTGTGTGCTCTGACCACTGAGCTATGAAGTCACTGGTGAGCAGGTCAATATTGTTGGGCTCATGTTTGTGAAATGAATGTGATATGAATGTTTAATGCAGTGCGGTGTTTGAAATTAAATGAGATATGATCTTCGCATGTGTGACTTCATAGCTCAGTGGTCAGAGCACTGCACCGGCACCGCAGA